AGTCCCCCATATCTGTGGCCAACTTTCAAGAGCCAATTCCAATATCATCTTTTTAACTCCAGCTCTCTTACCTTCTTTTTTCTGTGTACTCCCACACACAGTGTTTATTCAACTATATCATTATATTTACATGTCCCTCCTCCAGACTCGGACCACATTGCCTGGCTAATAGTTGGCCATAAATGCCTAGAAAATGAAACGTGCTTGCTCTCATAATTCTATAGTAACGAAAAGATTAATCAGAAAAAGGTTGTTATTTTTCAAAAATAAAAATGACCTACAATTTTCTGGGATAGAAATCATAACCCTATTCTTATTCCAGCAGCTCTGGCTGCCAAGAATTTCCAGCGTTTGCTTCTTCCCATGTTTTCTACCTCTAGCAGAATTTAATTTTGTTTTTATTGTTGCCATCTTTTAAAAATCATTCCCTCTTCAGCTTTTGCCAGTTCAAAGAAGGCAAAATTTACAGTGGTAGGGAATGAAAGGCTTTTATTGGGACATCTAACCCCCATGAATATATCTGTCTTTTCCAGCTATGTTTCAATTACTTTTATGTAGATTGAGATCCAATACATTCCTAAATCTCATTTGTTGTGCCTCTTACTCACTGTGCTTTTAGTTTGGTTTTATCATTTCATTGAAATAGATAATAGACCATGGAAAACTTAGTTATTTTGGATAGAAATAAATTTGGGGAGACTAACATTAAAGGCATGGTAAAAATAAAAAGATTATCATAAAGTCATTTGAATAGGGGCTAATTTGAAGTTTGCCACTGCAAGTTTTAAATTCTTTGATGGTAAATTAATAACACTCCAGCAGCACCCTGAAAGAAATGTTTCAACCACTGCAAAGCAGCGCTAATAATAAAAGCTGTTAGCACCTTTAAACTTACGTAGGTAGAGTTAATTACATAACGCTAATTTATAAGATTATTTCAAATACTTTTATTTATTTAAGTGGACATTATAAAATATCTGACTCTAACATGCTAGATCAGACAAGGAGGACAAGAATCCCCAACAAAGCCTTCTATAAAACTGTGATTCACTATTTACTTTCTTATGTTTACAAATTTTACTGTATTTACTTTCCATTAACCTCAACCATGTTTTAACGACAAAGTTTTATCTTCAAATATTTACCAACCAGTCGCTGATTCTGATACCTGAACAATAAATATGTTGGTGTAGTTGGAAGCAACAAAATGCCATTGAAAAATACTCCATAATTAAAATAATTTATTGATTTTTATTGCTGCCAGTCCTTTGGTTAATACCAGTGATTTTTTTTTCACTCTAAAGACAAAGAATAACAAATAATGACCCAGTTTTAATTTTAATAGTTAATAATCAAAGAAACCTTTGTTTTATTTGTAATGTTTTGACTTAGAAAAGAGCCATGGCTCCCAAATTTTGAAATACTACCTGTGTTTTCTAAGGTAGCCCACATTTTTTTCTTAAAATTCAGCCCATATTCTCAGTGAAGAGGGTCCAGTTCAGAAAGGAGAGTGGGGTTTCTGTCAAAGCAGAAGGAAAACACCTGCCATTAATCCCAAGAGCACAAGTGGGGTCTGGAGTGTCCGAAGCAGCCACACAGCTGTGAATGGAGGTTGACCTCTGCTTCGGTTCTGTCTTGAGCTGGCAGGTGCCAGGACGCCATTCTGTCTGCTCAGAAACACCCCTTTTGTAGCATGTGAATGCAAATTGTGAGTGCAAACTTTTAAGCTGTCTAAAGAGTGCTAGTTGATACATATTACTTTGGTAATTGGTAATTAGTCATTGGATTTTGGGGAAAAGACTCATCTCCATTCCCCACTGTAAAATTATTTCAGGAAGGCTTTGATCTCAAACATGCCATATAACCTAACAAAATGGTTTCAGAGGACTGGTGCAATGAGAAGCTTGGCCTCTGAAATTTCACCAGTAAAAGCAAATAGAACTTTAAGGAGGAGAAACTTTGGGGAGGGAAGGGGTGAGAGCTGAGGAGGGGTCCACAGTAACTGTAAGTGACCTTACAGTAGCTGGATGTTCTAGGGTTGTTTTTATTTCTTAATGCTAATATCTAATGCTAGCGCTAGACTATTTAGCTTTTCCAGAACAGGTTATTTAGCTTTGCTAATCAGTTTCTCCCACCATATTCTCCACTGGTACCTAGAATATTGCCAAACTCTCTATAGGTATTCAACAAATGTACATAAAGAACAAAATAGAGTTAAATAACATGCCACTTAAATCAAGACTAGAGTCTCCATTGTATTTCTTAAACTCTATGGTAGGTATCCTCTCATTCTTTTCTTTGGGTTGCCTTTGGCTCCACCAAAAAATAAAATTCTATTTGTGGAGTATTAGTAAACATTGTGTGTGTTTAATATGATCAAGTAAATTCCTTAAACTTAATTTTAGAGGTAGGCACACAGACTGTACTAATTACTCACTACTTGATTCACTGAAAACGTTAATAAAAACATTAAAATTTATGGCCAACATTAAAAAATAATTTTCCTAGCCTCCCTTTTCTAATGGCAAAATTATTTTCTGGGTAAGAGATAAAAGGGTTTTGTCTAGTTGATTCTATTAACTTGATCCCCCTTTCCTCTCCCTGTTACTCTCTAATTCCTCTTTCTCTCATTTTGAACTTGAGAGATCTTGGGGTGGATGTCCATGACCCTGTGGGAAATGCAGTGGGGAGGCGTTTCAGAAAGCACCTGTTGAAGGCAGACACACGGTCATCATTCTTTTTGAGAATCTAGTGCTAGAGCCGTGTCCCAGTGCCTAGCATCCCAAGCCACTGCATTTAAAGTCCCACAGACTAGGTTAAGCTCATTTACAAGAGACCTACCCTTGATGTTGTTTGTTTCATTTTAGACATCTATAAAAGTATGAATATAATCTTTTCCTCTTAGGATTGGGAGAAGGTTAAATGCTGTAACAGGTTCTTTGTTGATGGTCAAATATACAAAATACAAGACATGAGTTATTGTTGTTATTAATTTCATGATAATCCTGAACTATTACCAGAAGTGGCACAACTAAGAATGGGAATTTGATGCAGTTGCTCTGTTGCTCATGCAGGAGACAGCTTAGTAGGCAGAGCATTCCCACATGCCCACCTGAAGTGGCAGCAGTTTCCACTGGGACCCAGGGTGCTGTGCTAGAGCCTTGGCCTTACTTCCCATCTAGACTTTTATCCCCCAGACCTACTGAGGGTGAAGGTGAGGGATGGAAGGTACCTCTGAAATGCTCCAATTCCTCAGGTAGGCCGAGCCCTGAAACATGACTTTATTTTTAAGAACTAAAGTGAAAAAAGCACTGATGCCTCTAGAATAATTATTTCCTGTTAGTATTTTTGTTCTAAGGTAAAGAAAATCTCAGTGTGTCTCAAGAATAGAGAGCTGCCCAGCAAAACAGAAATCCTAAAAAGGTCCACATGTATACGGTCATCTAATTTATGCCGAAGGTAACACTGTACTACAATGGGGAAAAGATGCATTTTCAATAAATAGTGTTAGGTTAATTTGATATCTATATGGGGAAAGAAAAAGTATCTTGACTTTGACCTCACATCATGCACAAAATCAGTTCTTCATGAATTCAGATCTAAGTATGAAAGATAAAGTAATAAAGCTTATAGCTTTTAGAATAAACATAGAAGAACCTCTTCATGATATTGGAGTAGGCAAAGATTTTTTAAGTGGAACACAAAAAGAGATAGCTATAAATAGAAAAAGTGTTAAATTGAGTTTTATTAAAATTAAGAACATCTGTTCATCAAAAACACCTTTAAGACAATAAAAACAATGTGCAGAGTAGGAGAATATACTTGTTCTCTCTCTCTGCATATGTATATATATGTATATATATAATATAGTATTGCAGTATAATATATAAAGAACTCTAACAAATCGATAGGATAACTCAATAGAAAAAGTGCAAAAGATGTGAACACTTTCTGGAAGAGGTTGTAAAGTGGCTAATACCTACAGTAAGAGAAGTTCAACTTAATTACTGAAGAAAATACAAATTAAAATGCAATGTGAAACTACTACACCTCCCACCAGAATGTCTAAAGTGTAAAAGATGGAAAATACCAAGTATTGGTGATGGTATAGGGTAACAGAAGTTCTTATACATTGCTGATGGGAGTGTAATTGTTAAACCACATTGGAAAACTATTAGGCAGCACCTCTACTAAAACGGAACCTATGTGTTTTCTATAATCTAACAATTCCACTCCTAGATATATACCCAAAAGAAATGCATAAGGATATCACTTGCTAAAAGTTACCTCCACGCACACACAAAAGAAATGCATACCATTTTTAACCAAAAGACATATACCAGGATGTTTATGACAACACTATTTGTAATAGGACCTGGAACCAAATGGGCTTCAACAGTGGGATGAATAAATAAATTATGGCTTAGTCACACAATGGAATATTATAAAGCAGGAAGAAAAATGACCTACAACTACACACAAAATTATGTACAAATTCCACACAAATTGAGCAAAAGAGGCCAGACAATACTGTATGATTCCATGTATATAAAGTACATAAACTAGCCTATTCTGTCAGGAGTCAGAAGTAGTGGTTACAGCTGGGAAGAGCAGTGACAAGGAAATGTCATAATAGGATAATTGGTGCTCCTGGGTTTCTTTAGCTGATTCAACTCGCATAGGTGTGTTCAGTTTATGAAAATTTATTCAGCATATAATGAACTTTTCTCTCTCTCTCTCTCTCTCTCTCTCCGTGTAGATATATATATATACACACACACACATTATTGTACCATATATATAAATAATTTTCTTATCCTAACCATATTGTAATTACAGTTTAGATCCCCAAATTCCTTGTAAAACCTCAGTGACAGCTATATCTCTGTACCCTTTGCATGAATCTTGCACCTAACCCTAGCTTATCTTTCAAGCTACAATTTTTAAAATTTATTTTTAAACTATGTTTCTTTTTCTCTTTTCCCCTTTGTTTCCTTCAGGGCCCTCCTGGTCCAAAAGGTGATAAGGTAAGAAAAAGAATGGCAGAATAAATGAAGTCAGTGGGAACCCACATTGACATGACCTATGCTGCATTGTCTTGATCTTTTTAATGAGCATCGTATACAGCCTTCGTGCTAAAACTACTATCTCATTTTTCTGCTCTGCAGGGAGAACAAGGTGATCAGGGACCGCGGGTGAGTTGCACGCTTCCCATCCTCAGGAGGCAGCTTTCAGCTCCAAACCTCCTGAGTGAAAGTAGCCCTGGCTTCCTAGCTGCCTTGTGTCACATAGTTTAGTGATGGCTGGCAAAACTGCTGTGGCACTTGTAAGTGAAATAGCCTTAATAATGTCCGACGTGTGTGTACTGTTGCATTATCTGAGCTTGGTAATGTGAACAGGACACTCTACAGTGATTAGCCCTACTGGTTAGCGGGCGGAATAGCTGCTAAAATCAACACCACCTTTCCAGTGGCTATTGGGTCCTTTACAATTGCATGCAGTGTTTTGCAACATAAAGGCCACGTGGATTCCTATTGAATTTAGTCTTTTTCTGTGTTAAACTTTATGTGCTATTGCATAAATATGATCTATTATAGATGAAAATATTAATGCATTTTATATTTTTAGTCTTCATCATGTTTGAATAATACTTATTTGAATTTCTTATTTTTATAGATTTTTAAGCAGATAAAAGGTGTAATAAAATTTAGCATTCCAGAGAGGAGGGGCATCCTTTTATTCTTCTCAAATGTGGCTCTTTTAACTGTTATAATACAAGGGTGAATGCTCTGTTGTTACCTTGGTAGTGCCAAGTCCTCTGCTCCACATCTGTGCCTTATTACCCCAATGTTCAGACATACTGTTCCAATGATGTAGTGGCTCCGTTCAGACATACCTCTCAATTTTCTCATGTCACTATGCACAAAAGCGAGTATTTGGTTGAAGAGAGTCTATTTTTTTTTTTTTTTTTTTTTGCAGTGGAAAAGCACATTTAAAACTTTCAGGTTGAAAACATGATTGTGTAGGTTTTTTTGTCACTATGCATAATTATTGTATTCAGGTAGACTCCAGTAGAGGTTTTCTTGCAAAAGATGTAGACAGTGCAAGTCTGAGTAGTTTGTAGTCTTATCTCCTCATGTTTATTAAACTAGGGAAAAGTTATGCTATGATTTACTGTCCTTGCTGTTCTTCAGCCATTCTTCACACAGAAATGATTATGCCGCAGAGCGTTTAGTTTCTCGTGGCAGCTATTCTAGCTGATGACTAGCTTCAAGGTAAAAGCTCGTTTTATGGTCAAGGAGATTAAACATTATGATATATGTCATGGATGTGAATGGGATAAAATTCTCCTAGCCTTAGATGATTAGGGTATAGCCACTTGCTCCGTGCGTGGTGATTATTTTACATGGCACGTCTCCACGGATTGAGTATCGTTTCTTTCTACACGCAATAGCAAAATCACTCAACTTGCCCTTTGCAGGTAAGAGGGAGACTGTTTCCATTCTGAGAAATCTTCTTTTGGCAAAGGAAGTGGAGGGGTGGTTCACAGCTTAGCTGTCATCGGTATGCGCACAGCCCTCATTTTCAAAAAGGTGTGTTGGCTTTCATCGTTCTAAAAAGTGATGATTGATTATAAAGCTAGGCCAAATTTTTAAGATGAAACCTGAAACCATGTGAAATTCACCTGGTTTCATGTTGCAGTACAAACTAAGACTTGGACCAGGTTTCTTGGAAGTTTGGCCAAAGTTCATGAACTACTTTGACGAACCCAGACTGCCTCTCATACAGATTTCAGCCAGTTTTCACACTGGCTGGGGCCAAGTTTCACACAATTCAGGAGCCATTCAGCATTTCAGGTGGAAAGTGGCAAAAAATGATCCCAGTTTTCCCCTCGAGTTTGCTGTGCATTGAAGGAATTTGGGTGGAATTAATAATGCAGGGCAAATCTTCATGGGTACAAATCGAAATGTCCTGGGAAGTATATGAGGAAGAAAATGAGAACCAAACGAATTGCCCAGCTTTTCTCAGATTCCTCATTTAGAGACAGGGCAGGTCCCAGGCAGTGCTCTTAGAATTTTATAAATATTCCTTTCTAGTAAGATAGTATTAGCTACTTATTAGAAAGTTTATTGTATCAAGATAATAAAATGAATGTTTTATATTTCCAGGTAAATGAAAGTAAGTTAGAACTGAAAAAGTCTTCAATTTAATGAAAGTTAATTTTACCCACATCTTCTATAGGCACTCTGTTCCAGCTGATACTGGAATTATTAAAAATATAAATCTTTTTGTATTTGAATACCCTGACCATTTTTATCCTATCAAAGATTTGAATTCTACTGTTTACCATTTTTTCATGTAATTTCCTTCTTCCCATAATTAAATTAACAACATGACCCTCCATCATTTCAGTTCTTTGTTAGCTAACTTTCCATTATAGAATCGATACTGTCTCCTTGAATATCAAGTTCTTTTATTTTCTATTTGGCTTCCCAGTGTCAAACAGGAACATGTGTGAATCAAAGCAGAAAAAGGTAATATAGAAATTAAGAAGGCGAAAGTATCTTGAAACTCTTGGACATACGTTTAGCAAGATGTATCGAGCATCTACCGTGTTCGAGATGCCATGCTTAATACTACGGAGATTATAAATGTTTCTACTTTTTTCTCTCTCTCTCTCCTGCTACCATTGTGGCAGTCTTCCAATTAATCTTTCTTTCACTCTTAAGCCTGTATAATCCATTTTCTACACAGCAGCCAGAGAGATCATTTTACATTGTACATTAGATCATGTTGCTCCCTGTTTTAAACCTTAGAATGAAATCCAAACCACTTTGGTTGGCCTCCACAGGCCTTCAAGATTAGACCCTCACCTACCTCTGTAACCTCACCTCCTACTACTCCTCCCTCCACACACTATGCTCCAGCCACACTGTCTTCAGTGTGTTCTTCAAACACACCTCACACTCCTAACTCCATGATGATTTTCCCTTTGCTCTCTCTTCTGGCCTTCTTGTGATTGGGTTCTTCTTATCATTGAGATTTTATCTCCAATACTTCCTCAGAGAGAACTTCCCTAAATATCCAATCTAAATCTGAGGTTATACTATTGGCTTATTTATTTGTTATCTGTAAAACTTGCCCCTTCTTGAAAAATAAACTCCAAGTACCTGCTCTGTCTCATTCAAGCCACCATTGTCTAGAACAATAAGAACTTGATAAAAACTTGCTGAATGTTAGAATAAAATATTATTATATCTTTACTGCCCTCAGGATCTGATAATATCATGGGTGCCTGAATAAGGAAACTGTGTGGCTGTATGTTGTATGTTGTATACCTTAAATAATTATGCCAAGAGATGCTAGAAAAGTGAACATTCTTCTATTTGAAATAATATCTGGAGACTATGGAAGAGTTGTCGCTTGAGCTAGAACTCCATAAACGGGTAATCCGTAGACGATAAGATTAAGAGAAGGACATTACACATTCCAGTATGAAGAAATAGTACAAGCAATATTATACAAGTAGGAAATGACAGTATTCATTTAAGGAACAATAATATTCCATTTGCCAATAAAATAGGTTAAATATAGAAAAATTGTATCATAGAAGGCTGAGATTTTTATTCAAGTTATATTATGGAGCATTTTGAATGTCTAGTGTGGTAGGCAGTAGGGAGCCATTGAAGATTTTTGATTGCATCATTTGATATATATTACCACCAGACTATCTAGTGTTATTACCAAATGTTTTTTATGAAAAATTTTTTGGTTGTCAATATACGAAATGTTCAAACCTGTAGAGGATTTTTATGAGTTTATTTTAGCCAAACTGACAACATGCCTGGAAGCAAGTTCTCAAATGTTCTGCAGAATGACTGCTTTGTGGTTCCTCTTATACATTTGGAAATAAGGAGGGAACATTAGGAAGAAGAGAAATGCAAGGACAGGGAAATGTCTATAACTGGATTACAGGACAGTTGAAAAGATTATGTGCTCCCTTGAGTGTGGTTATGCCTCCGAGGGGTCTGAGAAAGAGGAATACTCTGGCATTTCAAAGGTGTGTTAACCTAGAAGCACAACAGCAATGGACAGGACTTGCTTAAAGCAAAGATAAACCTTTTATAGGCCTGGGGTGTGACTATCCAGCATGACCTGCCCAGTTAGGAATTTATGTTCAGATCACCCTGTGGGATTACTTTTCCATCACTGGACTTGGCAGATTTATTACAGAACCCCTTTTTAATCTACATGGGTGAGTGTCCAATACAAAAGCAGGGACACCAAGTAGACCAGGAAACTGTCAGTCATCAGGACAAGGTCATAAGAATCTGGGCTATAAGGATTATTTCCAGTCCTCAGTGGAGAGATGAGCAGAGGGGATGGGCTGACTCAGTCCGAAACATCAGGTATCATTGGAGGTAAGGGGCTACACTGAGCAGAAAGTACAGTGTCAGAATGAGGTCAGCAGTGGGGAGGGGCTAAGTTGATAAATTGAAGAAGGAATTTTAAAGGAGTCACCAAAATATTGGAGAAAATGCCATGTTTTCTATGGGAATTAGGATATGAGTTTATTTTTCTCATATAATGAGGGGTTCAGAGAAGGCAGTTGATGGTGTTATTTATATAATTCAATGATGTTACTTTGGGTGTCTGTGGGAATCTGTTGGCCTTTTAGTCATTATTGCAAAAAGGCCACTGTAAGTCCAACCATCACATCTCTTTCTATATCAGAAGGGAAGATAAAGGGAAAGAGTCCCTATAAAAAAAACCCAAACTTTTCCCCATGAATTTTATAGCACACTTCTGCTCATGTCTCATGGGCCAGACCATGTCACATCATTAGGTCAAAGCTGGAAGTGAGCCAAGGGGAATGGGGTTGAAAAGGAAAGTTGGGTCATCTCATCATTAGGGGTTGTCATAAGTGCCAAACAAAAACCTGGGCAGATAAAGAGGGAAAATCAGAGATGATGCCATTACCAGAGAAACTGGTAAGAGAGAAGTCTTGAAGCAGAAGGTGGAAGATGGATTTGATCTGGATAGGAGCCGCCAGGGAGGACAATTTCAGGATACTGAGGTGAAAATTCAATACAAGTCTTGGAGCTAAATGGATTTAGGGGCTGAAGTTGAGAAACAAGATAAATATAGGTCTGAAGTTTCTGGCTCTGCTTGATAAATTTGGCCAGAAGAAAGT